CACTTCGCTGACTGATGTAGAAATGTTTGACACCACTGTTACATCTGTCCACTGGTCTGCTCATAAACAAAACACACACTAACACACACACACACACAGATAAACACTCACACAGACACACACCTGGTGTTTTTTTTCCAACCACAGACAGGAAGGTGCTGGAGTACTTTCCACCACTTTCTAGGAATTGCAAATACCAAAACCCACCCAGGGGAAAGAGGATATGCACTGACATTACTCTGACCGCACCGCACTGAAATAAAAGGAGAAGTAATAGTTGATTCAGTGTTTTGTTTTCTTTCTTTAAAAGTTTCAGTTCAACTGAGGGAACAAAGTGACACACATCTGGAGGCAGATGGGGCCATTTGAAAAATACCTTCTCATCGTCAACTGGCCACGATTCTCTCTCTGGAGAGTTGAAGGTGGCCTCTGTTTGTTCTGATCTTTACACAACCAAACAACACAAGAGCAAAAGTGGGAGGACTGGGATAAGAAGGTCTATCGACTATATAAACGTAATCAAGTGCATCACTGAGATCAACAAGGAAACTAACCAAACTTCCATCTCGGGACATAGAACTTTAACTTTTCGGACACAATTAAAACTAAAGAGCCCAAACGGATAAGATACAAATCAGCCGACATGAGCTGACACATTGGTTTTAATGTTTGCTGATGGGAAAATGTTACTTTACAGAGAAAGTGATGCAAAAGAGAAATATATAAATATATGTTTGTTTTGTTTTAGTTAAAATATCAAGCCTCAATTAATTTGATGACTTAATGAGAGTTTTTTCAACCAACTCATGGAGCAAAATAAAAATGTTTAAGTAAAACCTACAGGTGGTGGCAAGACATGAAAAAAACTTTTGTCTGCTTCTGTCTGAAACCAGTTGTTCCAAAGGATGACCGGAGCCTGAGTGGTACATCCACCATCATAACCAGTGACGACTGCTTATTATCCGTATTAGAACAGAGGCGTTGCAGCGGTCCAGTAACAGAGAGGGTGAACGGTCAGTTGTGTTTGGACTTTTGCCTAAAAAGTTTTTATGACTTGCGTCTTTATGTTACAGCTCCTACGTGGGTGGGTGTGTGTATATCATACAAAAACAGAACAAGCTGTCAGAGTCATAATTACTCAATCAACTTTGAAAAAAGAACAGTTTGAACTCCAGATTAAAATAAAAGAAAAATAGTTCACCCTCACGAGTAAAGGATGAGGCCTGTTGCCAAGAAAAGCAGAAGTTTTGTGGAACTATTTGTTCTCTTGCCAAGACTTAGATTAGACTATCAATATTAAACATCACCTTGAATCTTGTTTGTTCAATCTGCACAAGCTCTTATGTTCTAGTTAAATATACCTGCAGTCCTCGTGCATACCTCTGCACAGAGCCAGGCTAGCTGTCTCCCTGTTTCCAGTCTTAGCGCTACGCTTAGCTGACCATGGAAAAAGAAAAAAAAAGAAGACAAAAACTTTAGCTTTGTTAAAGAAGGTGGGGCATTAAAAGGCTCACTGGAGAATACTGGGGAATTCTGTTTGCTTGTGCTGCGCTACGTTCCCTCTGCAGACTTCATGGGAACGAACCAAAACCTGACCCAAAAAAGAAAAAAGAAGAAGAAAAAAGACAGAAAACGATGGAAATAAAACTGGTATCTGCGGAGAAAAGTGTTTCACGTTGAATGAAAAACAAATATTTGAACAGATGGTGAAGTTTTTTATGTTGCTTCTCTCGCTGCGCTGAGGTTCCACGGGCTTCGTAAGCATAGCACAGAACACCTCATTAGGATTTCAGCCCCTTTGATAACTTGCTAAAATACACAGCTGAGGAGAACGAGATACAGGAAAGGCAGAGACAGACGGAGGGAGGGGGGGAGGGAAGAGGAGAGGAAGATTTGGGATAACAGCCGTTTGGTATGTACACAACCGCTGTGAAAGGAAATAAACACATTCATACTTGAGACACACACAAAGTAAAAGCACGTCATTCCCGTTCCACCGTTTATCTATACACCGAATGTAGATGTTTACGTTTGTTTATCTGTGTATCTATGTCGCTGTGTGTGTTTTCTGGATGTTTTAAGTGTTTCCAGCGGCAACACCCAGCTAGTCAACACGCGGTCAGCAGCCCCCCCCCCCATCCTACCCTCTCCAAACAGCAACAGCCTCATCACACACTGGCTCCGAGTCAAGCAAATAAACTGCACTGCAGCGAACGCCGGGGAGGCTGCAGCGAACATCACAGAGCGGAGTCGGACAGAACGCAACTTCTTTTTTTTCATAAACATTAAAATAACCCAGCACATGGGATGCATTATCTGTCTGGACCCGTGTGTTGTTGGATGATGTCAAGAGCGTTTGTTTGGGGGACGTACGCCGTGCAGCTGCCGTGATTGTGACCAGCGGAGGGCTCGGTTCTCATGTTTGCGGGCATCAGTGAGAAATGAGACCAACACCAGAAGCTACAAAAACCTTAAAAAGCAAAGTTTGTCTGCCCGTGTGTCGTTTCGTGAAAGATAATGAAGTTGAGAGTTGAGTGAAAACTTTAGGAATGAACTTTCAAGTTTAAATGTTAAACCAATATGGACAAGACGTCTTGGAAGTGCTCGGGAACATGAAGTCTATTTTTTGAAGTCTATATTCAATTAAAGCAAATAAACTATGACGAAGTCTATAATACAATCCAATCAAAAGCTCCAGAAATATGTGAAAAAAACTTTACTTCAACTAGGGAGGTTTTGTTTTTCGCCCCAGTCCATTTGTTTGTCAGCAGGATTACGCAAAAATTACTGAACCGGGCCAAGATTTAATGTTGTGAAATCGTGTTTTTCTACATTTTCACCAATTACCCAGGAAATAATGAATGGATCTCGAGGACAAAAAAACATATTTAGGAGACTGATATCTATGAGTGTGTGTGTGTGTGTAATTTTGGTGCAGCCTGATTGGATTTAAGAGGAGTTTGGGGTCTTGGCGGAGGTATGGGCTCTACTGAATGCCATTCTACTTTTTAATTAGATAATTCAATCTGACTCAAAAATCCTTCAGAAGTCTGTTTTCAGCCTATTTTGGATTTAATTTTACAAACTTCAGTAGATAGGGTTATAAAGGGCAGACTGTCTGTTGCAGGGTGTCATTTGGTTTGACTTGAAGAAACTTCGTTTTGAAATAACTCAGGAGCAGTTTGGTGTTCAGCGATTTGCTGAAGGCCATCGTGTTTTGAGTTTGCATGTCGTCCTTGTGCATGAGTTTCCTCCAGCTTCCTCCCACGATTGAAAGAAATGCAGGTTAATTTGAAACTGTTTTTGCATGTAGGTGTGAATGTGAGTGTAAATTGTTGTTTATGTGTAAATGTGTAAATGTCGGCCCTGTGATGGACTGACGACCTGCACAGGGTGTACCCAACCCCCGCCTCTCACCCAATGTCAGCTGGTATGGGCTTAACAATACAAAGCAAAATAATATTCTGTCTTCATCACACCAAAGGCAACGCAGGCTGCTTCATCTGCACATGAGGTGCAATCACATGCTCTGGATTTTGTTTTGACATCAGATAATTCAATTGGTTTCAAATTGTTTATTTAGTTGAGGATTTAGAAGAAGATTCACATAACGTTAATTTACAACCGCTGGTTTTTTTGCTTATTTTTCTTGATAAATAGTTATTATTGATTCATTTTGCTGGTGTATTAACTGCAGCTTTGCAAAAAAAAGTGAATTCTGTCTTCGTTTGTGATGAACTGCTACCGGAGAGCATCATCACCTCTGCTGGAGGCAAAGAAGGATTTATGAGACTGGAGGCCGGCCAAGTCACTTCCTTCCTCCGAGTGAAGGAGGGAGTTATTATTCACTATGTATTGAGCTTTTCGATGAATGGCTCTCATGCACTTACTACACTACATTTAATGGCATAGGAACCACACACACACACACACACTCACACACACACACACACAAACACACACACACACACACACTAACACACTCACACACACACTCAAGAGTTGACTTCTTTCAGGTAAAGTCACAAAAAGGAATCCAAGTTCATAAGTATGTGGAGCCACACTTACTCCCTGAAGGGTTTCCTCCTGCCACAGCAGGGCCCTGTGTGTGTGTGTGTGTGTGTGTTGTTTAATGTTGTGAGGCCTGTGTTGAATGAAGCGGGTGGACATGGAGGAGCTGAAGTGGATGAGGGGAGGCGGGAGGGTATAGTGTGAGGAATGTGACACCAAGAGCCAAGATTGAGATGAGGGACACTTACTGGAATCTCTCAATTTCCTGTTGGGATGCGTTTTGATTCTGATTTATCACAAAAGGGATTCCGCTCACCTTCCATCGACCCAGAATCTTTCATTTTCACCGTCCACTCATGTCAAAAAAATACAATTTCCTATTGTCTACGTACGTATACACGTGCCAATGTACAAGGGCCTTGATTGTCTGTTAAAAGATGTGTTATAGGGCTGTTTAAGAAGGCAGCAGAGCGATCCGCCTGCATTCACGCTGGGCTGCGGATGTGAGCAGAATACTGAGGGACTGGAACGACGAGCCGGATGCTCTGAGGAATGCCGAGGACTTGCCAAGCTAACGCCACGGCTCCGAAGAGCAAAGACTAAAAGATTCAACGCCGCCTGTCTGCCTGACAGACCCCAGAAGACACAACTGCACCTGCAACATGTTGTTTATTTCTTTGTCTTCTTTATTCCCTGGCTGAAAACGATGCAGTTATAAAGCCATTATAGAGACTGAGTCCCCGATTGAAATGATGAGATGTTAAGACACAAAGACTCATCGAAATGCATCTATTCAATCTATAAAGAGAGAAATCGTTTGGGGTCGTGGAGTGTCAATCCTAATTTGATCCCCATTCAGCAGAAATAGCTGAGTGGTAAATGGTTTCTGTGCATTTCTTATTGCAACACCTGAGGTCCCAGCTCACAGCGCACGTCCCTAATTCATGCAGCAGTTTAAAAAAAAAAAAAAAACAGATTTGCAAACTTACCGCGGCTGCCATTGTCCTCATCCTGAAAGAAAAGAAGAGACGATGGGTTTAAATTTCATGATGCTTAATTTGAATATAATCTGATATTTTGATATAAATGCAAAAATAGAACATTTTAACCCATCCCCCAAACTAAATACTCAATCACTCATTTAGCCGTAGCAGAATAATATCTATAGCCACACAAAGAGTCATCATAAAAAACAAATAACCGTGGAAAATATTGGCGTGTTATTCTTTTATTAATACTATACTGTTTTTTACCCACAAAATACTCGAAATACGATTTTCTGAAAACTATGAAATTTTGTGTTGGGGCCCCGTCTCTAACATACTGAGATAGGATGTTAGCCTTGGCAGAAGTACGCCCTCAGAATTTTATGTACAAAGACAATAATTAACAGATTAATTGATAAAACAATTAGTTGAAGCCCTACAGGGAATGGCTGAGAGAAGAAAGTGTTAATCAATCATTAAACACTTTATCATTTCCGTTTTTGATAAAGGACCCATGACGGGGGAGCAACTCCGGTGGCAGTTCTTAAATAAAAGCCACTTCATGTTTGTGGTCTTTATTTTTTATCCATTTCCTCAACACATAAATCTTTAATTTCCCTCAGTTAAAATCCACACACTTTAATCCACCTCCCCTCAGTGACACACGTGTTCGCCATAGATGCTTTAAGAAGCGCCGCTCTCCAAAGGCTTTCCTTAAGACGGTCAGACCCTCTGCAAGCTAACGCTAATATCCTCGAACTGTGATTAGGAAAGAGCTCCGATCCAAGACCCTAAAAGTAATTACAGTGACGCATAAACATGGACAAGGATTTTGTTTTTTCATCCTTACCATGACGGTTGAGGTTACATAATAGGAGAACCGGTTAGAGATTACAATGAGCGATCGAGTGACTTGATGGATTGAAATTTAAGGTTTTAGTGGAAATATTTCCCGGAATCACATCTTAAAATACTAAAGAAGACTATTGGAATAAAATCTGGTGGAATCTGCAAAGATAACACCTGTTTTAGTTAAAGACTTATTATCTAAATGATATTTACTGAATTCAATTAATGATTTATGCTTCATCTTCTTGCCAGATTTTCACAGACAAGTAAACTCCCTTAATTTATTTTTTCTATGAATCTTGGACCATATTTAAAGTCAGCTCAATACAAATCAGGTTTTAGTGAGAAAAGAAAAGCAAACACTCGTCCAGACTGGACTTAAAAATGGCCCAAACAAAATTGTGATACCCATGAATGCCTGTGGGAGAAACTGTCCGTCTCTTTGGTTACACAAACCTCTCAAAGTCCTAAACTTTTGTGCCGAAGTTTCTCTTTCAACATGCAGAAGCAGAGCCAAAGGCTATAAACCTAACGTACTATGCTAACTTTGTAGGAAATCCCTTTGTGCAAACATGAGAGGTTGTCAAAATACACTTCAGAGAAAAGTAAACCCAACTTATCCTGAATTATCACTAGGAATTATTATTAGGAAAACTAATACGAGCGAGGCCGTGATAAGCTTCCAGAGAGCGGACTTGAAACACCGGCACATTTTCCCATTAAAGAAGCCCTGTGGTATTTACCCAAAGCCCTTTAGTCTGTATTAAGTCTGTGCCCATTAGGAGCCGGAAGTGCTGTCACATCAGGATTAATACCAAAGGGCAGATTGGTACTGATGTTATCCAGAGGACAGTTGGCAGAGTTCCCAGGTGGGATGATACGAGTCAGAAATAGGCTCTGCTAAAAAACTGACACGACATGAGCGTATTGACATTTCAGTTAAATTAAAACACTGTAGTCGTATTAAGTCCGGTGTCGGTGATGGTCAGCGACGACAACAGCAGCAAACCGAAAATAGATTCAAATGAAAATGTAATTTCTTTATTCGAAAGAGATTTGAAGAGATTAAATATTGAAGTTGTTTGTTATAATAAACATCAGTACAAGATTTGCTTCTACAGTTAAAGTGAATAACAAAATAAATGAGGCGAACGAGCGTAAAACTATTATTA